TATGATCTGTTTGAATGATTTTTTTTAACTTCGTAGCTTTTTAAAAGCCAGACCAATGGTTGAGCTTTGAAATATTTGAAATATTTATATTATTAAAAAAACGATTTTAAATTATTTATATATATTATTATTATTTATATTCATTATTTATTTATATTTTTAAATAAATTTAATGTAGCAATGCTGAGAAAAACTATTTTCCCTTGAAAAGATCTTTCTATTTATACTGACACAACTGCTCGATATCAGGCTGTCTGATGCAACTAACTGACAATTTGTCCTTTGCAAAAACACGTCATTTTACCCGAAATTAACAAAAATGAATAATTAATCAAAATTCCAACAAACTCCCGATTATTCCAATAAAATTGATCGAGATCACAAGTACTGACGCCAGTTAATTAATTGAAATAACTACGAATATCAATAAATGAGTCCCAAAAAAACATGAGAAAAATATCCTCAAAATAACTTTTCACAGCTCAAAACACGTTTGAACTGATTACTGCGATAATACTGTGACAATCTGACAATGACGTTCAACATCTGATTATTATAGCTATATACATGTTATACTATCGGGGAAACATTAAAAAAAACTAGCAAATTTTTAAATAAGTCCATTGTGTCATTTTGTCCGTTTTCCCCCCTTATGTTTACAAGTAGCAATATTTTTTGTATTTCATTATGGTATATTTTAACACTTTCGGGACGGTACCGATTTCAAAACAATTTACTTTACCGGCTGTCAACTTGTTTACATTGTGTATGTTGTGCAATTTGTTAATGTTAAAGGACATACATTTTTAATATTAATTTATTTTTGATCATTTTATAAAGAATGGTGACGTTCAAAATAATTTCCAAAATGCATAGCTGGTTGATTTTGACATGTTTTACAATAAAATGTTGTTCGCCGCCTTCCTCCTGGTGCTTTTCTGTCAGAACAGACAATACAATCCCTTTATTTTTAGAATTTAGAATATGCCACTGATTAGTCAGTATATTTGGTCATTTTTTCGCTGCCATAATGGTTGATTTTTTCTATTATATTGTCTAATAATTCATTTATAAAATATAAAGTAAAATACACCTAAGTCTGTTTTTACACGGAGATTGGTTCCAGAAGAAGCCGTGTAAAAAAAAACGTGTAAAAAAAGACATTGATCTTATACAAAAATGGGTGATTTGTCCTACTCTCTAAAACCTATTAAAATTAGTGAAAAACAAGAATTTTCAAGAACAAGAATTCATGTTTATTTTAATAATAATTCCCCTAAATTAGTGCTATTCACATTTGCTTTGACCAGTAAAAATTGTTTGTACGCGCTAAAGGGGAATTCACTTAAATCTTTAAGCTAGTGTTCGTAAACTATCGATACTATCGATGGTTTCAGACTTTTTTCTTTCATAAATACTTTTTTGTGATATGAACATACTTCGCAAAAATTAAATTTGACAAAAAAAATTGAGTACATAATATTTCAAATCGTGCTAAATGGAATAAAATCGTGCAAAAAAAATAAAAATATTCAATTTTCAAAACGTGTTATATCAAAACCGTGTACAAAAAGACCGTGTAAAAACAGACTTAGGTGTAATCTATTGGATGTCTTATATTGCTTGGTTTTTGTAGTCGGGGTGTTTGTTGATGTATGTCAAACTTGATTATTGAAGGAGAATCGGCACATTCGCTAATGTCTTCCCGCTTTTCATTTATTTTGTCAAACTTCTTCTTTTTGATGGTTGGATAATATCATCATCGCATTCGTCACTATCATCGGTGCGAATAGTAATTTCGTAAAATTTGTCTGTATGAATGTCTATTTGAAACTCATCTTCACTACTGCTTAATTCACAAAATTTACTAGTCGTTTTACCATATTTAAAAGCGCTCGGTCGTTTTAAATATTTAAAAAAGACCATATAGCAAAGAAAAAGACTAAAATAATTTAAAAATATTTTCAAAATACAATACTATTTATCACTGCTATATGTAATTTATTCAACTTTTCGATGCAAACTGAGTCATTGTTTATAAAATAGCTTGTGCCTCACAGAATATGTTTGTCCACTGAGGTGGACAGCCGTCCCCAAAGTGTTAAATATACATAAATAAATGTAAAATCTACAGCAACCATATTTAACATATATACTAATTTAATATGTAATGTATAGCACAAAAACATTCGTTTTATGAATTCAAATTTTGAATTGACAAATACTCATAGTAACATAGATAATATTTTTGAATAGACCGCTCGGACTAATGTTTTTTTCTGATTGCGTACGTGTGTACTTTTATTTGTTACCTGTTCAGGTGCGCACGCGTGTCGTACCATCAGCCTCTTAAGAACGACGTATCCGAGATATCCGCTAAGCGCGCACGTAAGCGCACGTAAGCTCGGGCCAGTGAACCCGCTTGCCCATTGTCAATGTCAGACCATAGTGTCAGTATCCACGGATGGTCCGACGATTGACCGCGTTCTTTTTACTCATTCGGTCAAAATCGGTCACTTTATGATAACTGTTACTCCAAATCGATTTCTTCGAGGCCACAAAGAAAATATCTATTGAGTTCTATTTTCATGTGTAAATCATTTATTAAATTCGTCGGTTAATGTAATATGGAAATGTATAGATTATATTTATACGATTTATGAAATATTTTTTGTATTTGATCGATTGGTTATTTAGAAACAATGTGTAGTGATGTATATAACGAGGTTTCTTAGGTTAGTTTTACACTGTTGACGTTTCTCAAAATATACCGCCACAATGTCTTGCTAGTGCTGTAATGATCGACGTAAGACTTTCATGGGTCGCAATGAAATAACGGTGAGTCGCATTAAATTTTGCCTGCTGTACCAAAAAAAAACAGAAAACAATAAACGATATAATAGACGGTTAATTTTCATTCGTTCGACTGAGTAACTTATATTTTATAATCTTGTCAATTATTAAATGTAATGTGATTGTAACGATTCAAAGCAAAAAGTCTATGTATTGTTAATGGCAAATTTTATGTAAATATTTCTATTTTTAATTTGCATGTACTATTACAACTCATTGTTATTTTACCGTTTTCCAATAAAAAGTAAGTTGTCAAAAAAACAGTATATAGCACACAAAATTAAAATTCTATATACACATCATTTCATTATAAAAAGGTGATATGAATATAATAGTTCTTTGCTCACCTCCTCAATGTCTTCTATGCAGACTTATCAAAACCACTTAATAATTTCTATAATATATACATAATATACAAAAATTAAAACTTCAATTTTAGGTAAATATTTTAGAACATTTATATAAACTTTAAAGCGAACCATTTTTATGAATCGAAAGAACTACGCACGAACGTGTATTCCAGCTGACCTGCACGATATCTGGAACAGACCGTCCGGCTCCAGTTATGTGGAGGCATTCCGCTTTACGAATATGAGATTTCTAATTTTGTTTCATATTAAAAAAACATAACTTAGTTAGAACTTAGAAATAATATAAAGTTTATTTACAAGAGTCAATCAACGACTAACGAACGAGAATATATCCTGTGATTTTTTCATGTTTGTAATTTTACACCTATCAGAACTATTATAAATTCTTTATACAAGATGTATTGAGCACTGCATATTACTAAGAACGACGTTATTAGCAGGCAATCGATTCATTGTCCTTATTATCTAAGATAAAGTTTATTTTTATATTGAACGCTATTAAAAGACTTTTTTATATTGAACGCTATTAGAACTTCGCGGTTGCCTTTTCTAATTGGAATGTTTCAGCAATGCCGGTTAAGAGCCATTCACTTGGAAACATTTTGCTATCTATATTTCCAAGCTAAAACCGATGTCAATACTGCTGCGCGAAACCATTTGAATTCCATAAAACATTTTCATGCAATAAAAGCGAATAATCTTTTATACAATCAAATTATTATTACAATTATTAATATATATTATTATTAAATTATTCAAAACGAAATTGTTTTTAAAGCATAATCATAAAATATTTGCAGAAAGGAAGATTTCTACTTGCAATATAATATTTTGCAAATGGATTTTCATCAATAAATTTATTATATACTTTCTAATTTCTAATTTTTAATTTCTCTACAAAAACAATAATAAAAATTAAGGAATTTTTATAAAAATGTGAAATCCAAGATAACATTGACACGCTTAATGTTTCATCTTATAATAAGTGTCTTTCAAACAATTATGCTATTAATATATAGTTATGCAGTTTTTTTTGTTATTCAGATACAAAATTCAATTTAATTACTCACTCGTAGATAAGTGCACCTGAAACAGAGGTAATGTGTTCGATACCTCTTAGAGCAGTTTGCTGTCAAGCAGTAGTGACAACGGTTCTCACTTGAAAATATAGATATCAATATGTTTCCAAGTAAAAATAGACCTCATTCCTATTTGCTGCATTAATAAAACATAGTCGCCCTATGGCAAAAAATGTCATAATAAAAATCATCACATTGAGATGAGGCTACTATTTGGGTTGCCATCTTTAAACAAAAAATAGAGTTGATAATACATTCATCACAAAAGCTCATGGGACCATTGGGTTCTGGTTGCAGTTCAAATATATATATATATATATATATATATATATATATAAACAAAAAATGTTCAGATAAAATGTAATATTATTCTGGCGACACAACCCTTTTACGTAATCTTTACCTGTTATATTATTTTCAGGAACAACACGCTACGAAAAGTATTCTATGATATTTAAACGTAAAGTTCTTAATATAAAGACAAAAAAGATTAAATAAAATTTAACTTACAAATATAGTAAAAAATTGTTCGCGTAATTTCAATTTATTTTGTAAAGAGATAAAGTTTACAATAAAACTGCCCAATACAAATAAAATCGCAAAGTTGTTGGCAAGTTACCGACATCTATAAATGATCAACATCTATACTAAATTCAATTTCAATGTATATTTTTACAGAAATTGCAAAATTCGGAAAATGATGAAGGAATATTGGCTAGCGTCTTTTATAGCGGTATCGCTGACCGCTTTCCTCGTAGGAAGTGACGAAATACGTTTGCCTGACCAGGAACGAAGTTCCGGCGGGCGAGATGGAAAAAGTTTGCTCGATTGGATTGGCTTAGGCAATGGGCCAGACCAGGACCCGTACGTGGCCCGAACTAACACGGCATGCTTGAGCGGGGATCTGGCCGAATGCTTCAAGAGTCAAGCTCTCACCAGCTTTACCGAATTCTTCTCAAAGGAATATTATCAGTAAGTATTCGATATTAATAGACTTCGTCCTTGGACATATTAAAGCAACATATGTAAATTTGATATAAAAGCTTTCACATGCAGACTAGATATTTCTCACTTAAATTTGGATATATAGCACATATTTGACTTAAAGTTGTCTGTTGACTGTTCCACTTTAAAAAACAGCACTTTGATTTATAGATACTTTTTGATTGAAGGCACTAGAGATACCATATATTTATTTATTTATTATAAGATAATGGAGGATATTTATGATTTAAAGTTACTATATTCTCTAAAACTCAACCATAAATAATATAAATCGATCTTATATTTTTATCATTTCATAGTTTAACGGAAAATGTGCGAGTTATTCGTATGCCGGAAACCCAACTACGATCTCTGTACAGCGAACCTTATGAATTTTCTTCGGAGCCAAGAGCAACTGATTCTGAATGGGACCAGCTCGTTAAATTTGGTTTGCGTAAAGTTGAAAAGTAAGTGAAAATATACTTTCTTACATTTAATTTATAATTATATGTGTACATTGAAATTTGTGAATGAAATTTCATAACTTGCGATTTTTTAATTTTTAGATTCATCAAGTCAGCAGCTTTCGAAATTAGCGTATCAGATGATGTAACAGAAGAAGGTAGATACTCACCAAGATTTTTGGATGAAATTGCTGATGAAATCGATGTTCTTGAAGATAAGAAAGCACCCCTATTCTGTACGTAGTAACCAAAATTAATATTCTTGTGAAGTAAATCTTCTTTTGACCAAACAACCTAAAGATATAACAGATTGTGATTATATTTATAAAAATATCTCTATAATGTGAAAATTATAAATTCAAGACAATAATAGAATAAAAGTAAATATTGCTAGAAAACTAATATTCTGACTCTATTTATAGCTCGCAAGCGTCTCAGGAAGTTGTTCATCCCTATGCTCATTATTTTGAAACTGTTCAAGCTGAAACTGTTATTGTTTTTGCCTTTAATCTTGGGACTTGCTAGCTTCAAAAAACTTCTTGGCTTCTTCGCGATCATCATTCCAGGTATATACAATAAAATATAATATACATATAAATGAAATAAAAAAGAAATTATATAAATATCTAACAGTCTAAAACTCGAGAAAAAATTCGATACAATTCAAAGTCAACAAAATCTAAGAATATATCAACTTTTTAAGTTCTTATTTAAAAAAGAATAAATTTAGCAATGCCCTATACCGACACCTGTACAACTTTGATGTTTGCAGCAGATTTTTAATTTTGAAAAAATTTCAAACCGTTGAATATTCATATAACTAATAGTATATTTTTTATGGATGACTGCTATTTCAGAGGTACCGGTGGTGATAAATTTTTGTTAAATAGAGTAAATGATCATCACTATCATTATTATTTGATGTCAAATCTTGTCCATATTCGTTATGCTATAGGTATATTAATTGAACTGCATGTTCAAAACATTTACATTATCTGTTACTATGTTTAGGCATAATCGGTTTCTTCAAACTTTGCAAACCAAATTTGACATCTGGTGCATTTGCTGGTGGATACGGTAATGCGGGTTCATATCATTCGGCTGTTCCTCAGTACTCGCTCACGGGGGTCAGTGTGCCAAGCTTCAGCAGCAGCGGCCCTGAAGTACCGTATGGCCTCCACCATCCCGGGTCATACTACCGGGATGAAAGGCCCTCGTCACTCTACAGCCACAACAACCATCAAGGATTCAGCGGTACCTATGGCCGAGACAATTCCGCCTCCACATCAAGTACGATAGCATTCCGTGACGACAACAATGCGGCCGAATCGGCGCAGCAGTTGGCCTACAGCGGCTATTCCGAATACAGGAGTAAAAACAAGAGCCAATAGGAAGCAAAACACAAATAAGCGTCTCAAATGTTGATTTTGCATCATTTAAATTGCTTCTGAACAAAATATACATTGTCGTCACTATTCAGGTAAATGTTTCGGCTTAAAAAAATATTTGCATTTTCTAGATATGCTTTGCTCATTAATTATAATTTATCGATTAACTCTTTATGAATGTTTTGTAAATGAAAACTATTATTTTTATTTATTATTGTATGCGAGTATGATTGTACAGGATCTATATAAGACATTATGTATATTAGAATACTCACAAAATTAAATACCAAATCATAGGGTTTAAAATATGCAAAAGGCATAAAATACCCATATATATATTATAAATAATTTCTATACAAAAAGCAGCATAATTTTCATAAACTTTGGCATGATCATTTATGATTCAAAATAATCATTCTATTTAATTTTCTAACTTTGCAAATACAGAAACATTTAGTATGAATGATTAGTTTTTATATTGTTGTAGCTTAAAATTGTTGTTCCTATATTTTAAATGCCATATTTTAGAATTGCATTGTAATCTTAATGTATATTTTGGTATTTTTTTATATATTTATTGTTTAAGTATTTATTTATTATTTTGGTACATAAAAGTACTTTATAAATTGTTCAAGGTATAAAAAACAACAAAATTGTATTTGGTTTTTCAAATGTAAATAGGCCATTATTCTTAAAATTAATATGTTTGATAAAATGTATTTAGGTGATATATTTATTACACTATAAATAAACTGTATTATACGATATATGTTTACGTAATAAATAAATATAAGTACGAAGAAATAAGCATTTTTATAACATTTATTTTGTATATGGTTATACCCAATTAGCGTAATAATACGATAACTATGATTGTATAGTTTAGCCATTTGGCAAATTCGCGTTTTGGAAAATTATTTTGAAATACTATATGTATTTGAAAAAACATTTTGATGAATTGATTTTCTGCATTATTAACTTATTGTTAGCGTTTTCAGCATATTGTAATTATTATCATAACAGTTTTAGGGTGCTGTATAATTACTTCATAAATTCACTAAAAATCGATAAATTATAACTCGAATTTATTAAATATATCATCTTCGGTCTCAGATAATAACATCTGCTTTGCAAGATTTTGCAAGTATTTATATTCAAAGAAAACGTTCCCTTGATCTTATACTTTCCGTAGTACACAAATATGCGTTAGTAGTGGATACGTAGTGAATTGTTTCTTGTTTATATAAGTATTATGTTTTTAATATATATGTTTTAATAATATATCTAAATAGCGTTGATCTTCGCTGATAATAAACTTTCAAAAAAGTTAATATAAATGTTTCCCACTTATACGATGATGTTTGTAATTCATATTGAATTGTGATAGTATTATATCAAACATTACGTCAATGACTTCATGACTATGTATTTTGCACCTTTGTTATTGTTTCAGTTATTTCTTTACACTTTCGTTTTTATTTAATGTCAATTTTTATTAGACTCCACTACCATTTAATTCAACTACACATTGTGGTCAAACCGAAGCAGTGAAATTGTTTTGAATTATTTTGGATATTTAATTATTAGATTATGTTGATAAAATATTTATAGAATTGAGTTAAACAATTGAGCTTTTATTTTTTACGTCATGCAATTAAAAGTTTAGTTTATTCAAAATATAGTTTCTTTTTTGAATATTTTTTTATGTTATAATCTGCATAAACAATTAAGTTTTAGTTATTTCATTGTTTACTGGAATGTTGGTAATATGAGTAATGTAAGTACTAATTTAATGCAGCGTAAGTTTTTTTGATGATTGTTTATTTATAACAGTTTAGAATAACAGTTTCTATTAACTTCCTGTAGGGTAAGTTATTGTAATGGGCCGAAAAACGAAATTGAAAATTTTTACATTTCTCAACGTTTTTGAAAATTTTGGCATACCTCAGAAAAAATGGATATGTGTGTGTGTATGTATCTAAGGATACAATTTTTCGGTCACGTTTTCGAGCGCACGGATCAACCGATTTGAATGGTTCAAAAAACATGCGATTCTTATTGATAGGGAGATGTGCTAATTAGTTTTTGGCAAAGGCAGGACCAGCAGTTACGGAGATAAAGAGCAAAAAGTGCAGAAAATAGAAATCGAGTTTTTGAGAGAATGGAGCATCTGATCTGAATGATCTAAGAAAGATTCAATTAGTAATGATTGGGAGAAGTGTTTATAAGTCTTTGGCAAAGGCAGGCCTAGCCATTTCGTAGATACGGAGCTAAATGTGCAAGAAATGGCAGTTTTTGAGAGAACTCAGCGTCCGATTTAAATGATTCAAAAAACTTTCTGCTTGTCTTAACAAAATAATTGATTTTGAAAAAAAAATTTTTTTGTTTAAACTTTTTTTTTTAATTTTTTTTTTTATTTTTTTTGTATATCGAAATTAATTCAGATTTTATTTTTAATTCTGACTGTAGTACTAATATACTTTAATCAAATAATTTCAACTTTGCAATTCAGTTCATATAATTCTTATAAATATTAGACAATGTTACAATATTTACAATAATCTATTCGAAAACATTCAAACATTTCGTTACGGTACGGGAAGTTCCAGCAATTTGCTTTAAGGCACGATGCCATACACCCCACTAGTTAAAAATAATATCTTGATATCCATTGATTAAAATTCTACTAAATAAATATGGTTAACTGCTGTAACTATTCCTCTATCAAGTCAAGTAAAAATATCACTACGACTGTTGGTCATTATTTTACAATCAATTATTTTCTAGAAAAGGTGCGGTGTTGCGGTTAAAACTTATCTCGTGCTCGGGGCTAGTTGTAAAATCCACTAAGACATGTAGTGACGATAGAAAAAACAACAATAATACCTCTAATCATTTATTTTTTGCTTATTTTTTACAATATTGACATATTTCAAAAGTAAGTGTAGCACATTTCTCACGCTATATATTCATATGCATGTGCCCATATCTTACAAGTGATATATTCTACCCAACTTGTCAGTATCAGTACCACTTTTCTGGTTCAGATTTAACCTGAACATGAAATATTTTTTTAGCTCTGTCCATTCCGTTTTCAGTTTTGTTGATTTTTAACTTCCCGTAGGCCAAGTTATAGTAATCGCAAAAAAATCTAAAATGAAAATTTTTGCATTTCTCGACGTTTTGAAGGTTTCTGAATATTTTGGCATACCTTAGAAATAATGGATGTATGTGTGTGTGCGGATACAAATTTTCGTCGACGAACACGGGAACAAAAAGCATTCGATTTGTTTTCTTAAGGAGACGTGCTGATTAGTTTTTGGCAAAGGCAGGTCTAGCCGTTCCAAAAATATGGGGCAAAAAGTGCCAAAAACGGTAACTCAGTTTTTAAGAGAACGGAGCGTCCGATTTGAATAATTCAAAAAACATTTTACTTGTATTGACAAGATCAAGAACAAGGCAAGTTTTCATAAAGGCAAGTCTAGCGGTTTCGGAAATCTAATAAAAAAAGTAAAAAAAAATGCCATTTGGTGGTCAAAAATGATCATTAGACATATGCACATCAAATTATTAGATATTTTATAGAGATTTTAATAATAAGTATAAATTTTGTTTACATTCCTATGGATTCCGTACCATTGTTTATCCGTTAGACGACGACGCGGCGCTTACGCGCTTCTATATTTCGTCTCTATGCAGTTAAAGCAGTACGATTGCTTTGAAAAAAGGTTCTCAATTTCCAAAATATTTCAAAATAAATTTTTCTTCAAAAAGTCTTTCTTTTTTCAAAAAAAGTAAATTTTTGTCGGGAATTTATAGTTTCTCAAAAATCTAATTTTTTTAGAGTAATTATTTTCAAAAATGTTAATTTTTTAAAAAAAAATAATAATTTTTGGTGCGGGAAGTTCCATCAATTTGCCTTAAGGCACGATGCCATGCGCCCCACTAGTTTACATTTAACTTTTCCTTTAGTTTTATCACTTTGTTTGTTTTTTTTTTTTCATATTTTCCTCGTATTGCATCAATACTGTAAGTTTTCTTTTGCGTCTGCTATTTGTATTAGTTTTTCTTGGTGGCGCCTTTGCCCTTTAAAACCAAAGTGGTTTAATCTTAAATGGCAAAAAAGTTTTCGGTAGACTGGAAAAACTCAGAGTTGATTCGTGCTCAATTAGCTCAATATGATTTCGACTTACGAGTATGTGCTGCAGAAAAAATAGGTATCGAGGTTATGACTCGGGATATGTTGTAACATGTTACAGACATATACAAAATAAAATATAGCGTTTAAGATCCTAGTGAAAAGACCCTATCTCTACTTACTCCTGTTACTTACAACAAGCCCGTATCATCCCTATATAATTTTATATACGAATTTCAGAATATATCTAAATTTAACCAATTTAAAAATGTCATAAAATTTGGTAAATACTAAGTACTTAAACCTTCAAACCATTTCATTATCAAATCAATTACATTTAATTTATCATTTTTTAATTTCTTAGCATAACCTGAAGTAGTTTCACGTTCAATTCAAACAAGAAAGTGCCTAAAGCACTTTCAATCAATTAGCAATACTTTACCAGAAAAACGTATAAAACATAGACCGTGTATATATATACATCATGTAAAAAACATTACGACGATGCTAATAGCATTAGATATGAAAAAGAACAAACAAAATTATGAAACAAAAACGGACAAGAATTTATGCTCGTAGCCAGAGGGAGTAGAGTATGAAATGAAACCCAGTAGCGTGTTAACAAGATTATGATGGAAATTGATTTGATAATAGTAATATTGTACCATCTGAAGTTTCTTAAGATAAATTGTAGTACATAAACAAAACTTTATACTTATAATTAAATTTTACTAATATACTAATTTAAACGTTTCAAATTTCACGATAGATTTTACTAATGGAAATGTTTGTTAATTAGAAAATTGTTAATTAACTTCCCGTAGGGTAAGTTATAGTAATCGCAAAAAAATCGAAAATGAAAATT